GGAAAAAGAAAACAACTCCTTAAAAAGTAGAATTGGCCATGAAAAAGGAGGCACAAAAGCTAACTGAAGAAAATAATTTGTTAAAAATATATAATTGGGCAAGTGGAAGGAAATGACTCCATGAGATATCAAGAATCTGTCAACATGGGAAGATGATATTTGTAATCATTGGAAGATGATGTTTCTAACTCATAAGACCTTTCTCATTATTAGAGTAGTTAGAAGGAGTACATATAGACAGAGGGCATAAGTATGAGTTGAATATGAAGGGGTGATATCTAAAAAATAAAATTAAGGCTGAGAGAGGAATCTACTGGGAGAAAGAGAAAGGGAGAGGTAGAATGGGGTAAATTATTTCACATAAAAGAGGCAAGAAAAAGCTTTTACAGTGGAGGGGAAGGAACGGGAGTGAGGGAACCTTACTCTCATCAGAATTGACTCAAAGAGGGAATAACATAAACACTCAATTGAGTGTAGAAATCTATCTTACCCTACAGGAAAGTAGGAGGGGAAGGAGATAAGAGAAGAGGAAGGTGATAGAAGGAAGGGCAGATTGAGGGAGGGGATGGTCAGAAGCAAAACATTTTTTGAGGAAGGACAGGGTGGAAAGAGAGAAAGAATAGAATAATAGGAGGTGGGGGGAAGAGGATGGAGGGAAATACTGCAACTTTGGAAAAAATTTGAAGCAAGATTCTCTGACAAAGACCTCATTTCTCATATAGAGAACTGAGTCAAATTTATAAAAACAAAAGCCATTCCCCAACTGATAAGTGATCAAAAGATATAATCAGTTTTTAGATGAAGTAATGAAAGCTGTCTATAGCCATATTAAAAAAAATTCTAACTCACTATTAGATTGGAGAAGTATAAATTGAAACAATTCTAAGGTACTATCTCATACCTATTAGATTTTCTAATAGGACAGAAAAGGTGAACGATGGATGTTGAAAGGGATGTGGAGAAAAATAAACATTAATGCACTGTCAACAGAATTGTGAATTGATTCAACCATTATGTAGAGCAGTTTGGAATTATGCCCAAAGGGCTACAAAACCATACATGCCCTTTGACCTACTGGTGCCACTGCCAGGTCTGTATTCCAAAAGAGATTAAAAAAAATAAAAGGATATATATGTACAAAAATATTTATAACCACTCTTTTCTGAGGGGTAAAGAATTAGAAATTGAGGAGACACCCATTGATTGGGGAATGGCTGAACAAGTTGTAGTATGTGATTATGATGGAACACTATTGTACTGTAAGAAATGATGCATAGGGTGCTCTCAGAAAAACCTGGAAAGACTTGCATAGACTAATGCAAAGTGAAATATACTATGTACAAAGTAATAGCAGGTAGAGGTATAAAGAAGCAAACAGGAAAGAAAAAAATTGTTATTCTGTAAGATTAAACTGTTTACATTACTGCATGGGAAGATGATACTTGTGACTCTTAAGAACTGTATCTCTATTAGGACAGTTAGAAAGAGTATTCATAGACAGAATGTGTAGGTATAAGTTGATTTTGATGTGATGGAATAAAAAATAATTAAAGGGTGAAAAAGGGTTGTACTTGGAAAAGATGGAAGGGGGAGGCAGACTGGGGTAAATTATATCACGTGAAGAGACACAAAAGACCTATTGCAGTAGAGGGGAAGAAGGGGGCGGTGAACATTGTTTGACCCTTACTCTCATCAGATTTGGCTCAAAGAAGTAATAACATTCACTCACAGTTGGGTATAGATACCTGTCTTACTCTATAGGGAATTAGGAGGGGAAGGGGAAAAGAAAAGGGGAGCACTGTTAGAAAAGAGGGCAGATTGAGGAAGGCAGTGGTCAGAAGCAAAACATTGGTGAGGAGGGACTGAGTGAAAGGAAAGAGAGAAAAATATAAATGGGAAAAATAGGATGGAGGAAAATACACAGTAATCATAACTGTGAATCTGAATGGGATGAATTCTCCCATAAAACAAAGCAAAGAGTAGAGTGGATTAAAAACCAGAATTCTACAATATGTTGTTTGCAAGAAACACATTTGAAGCAGCGACACATACACAGAGTAAAGGTAGAAGGCTGGAGTAGAGTATATTATGCTTCAGCTAAAATAAAAAAAAAAGCAGAAATAGCAATCTTGATCTCAGTCAAAGAAAAAGCAAAAATAGATCTAATTAAAAGAGAGGAGGAAGGAACCGACATCTTGCTAAAAGGTACCATAGACAATGAAGTAATATAAATATTAAAACATGTGTACCAAATAGTATTTAGCATCCAAATTCCTAAAGGAGAAGTTAAATGAATTAGAGTAGGAAATAGTAAAACTATTCTAGTGGAGGACTTCAACCTTCCTCTCTCAGAACTAGATAAATCTTATCACAAAATAAACAAGAAAGAAGTTAAGGAGGTGAATAGAATTTTAGAAAAGTTAGATGTGATAGACCTCTGGAGAAAATTGAATGGGGGTAGAAAGGAATATACCTTTTTCTCAGAGGTATGTGGAACCTACACAAAAATGACCATGTTTTAGGACATAAAAACTTCATAATCAAATGCAGAAAATCAGAAATATTAAATGCATTCTTTTCAGATAATGATGCAATAAAAATTACATTTAATAAAAGGCTATGAAAAGATAGATTAAAAACTGATTGGAAACATCATCTAATCCTAAAGAACGAGTGAAACAAAAGATCATAAAAACAATAATTTCACTAAAGAGAATGACAATAATGAGGCAATATACCAAAATTTATGGAATGCAGCCAAAGCAATACTTAGGGGAAATTTTATATCTCTAAATGCTTACGTGAATAAAATAGAGAAAGAGGATATCAATGAATTGGGCGTGCAACTAAAAAAGCTAGGAAAAGAATGAATTAAAAATCCCCAGTTAAACACCAAATTGGAAATCCTGAAAATCAAAGGAGAGAGTAATGCGATTGAAAGTAAGAAAACTATTGAACTAATAAATAAAACTAAGAGCTGGTTTTTTTTGGGGGGGGAGAACAATGAAATAGATAAACCTTTGGTTAATTTGATTAAAAAAAAGAAGAAAACTAAATCACCAGTATCAAAAATGAAAAGGGTGAATTCACCACCAACGAAGAGGAAATTAAATCAGTAATTTGGAGCTATTCTGCCCAATTATATGCCAATAAATCTAACAATCTAAGTGAAATAGATGAATATTTACAAAAATATGAATTACTTAGATTGACAGAAGAGGAAATAGAATACTTAACCCATTTTAGAAAAAAAGAAATTGGAGGGGCAGCTAGGTGGTGCAGTGGATAGAGCGCCAGCCCTAAAGTCAGGAGGACCTGAGTTCAAATCTTTTTGTGGTGACAAAGAATTGGAAATTGAAGAGATGCCCATCAATTGGGGAATGGCTAAACAAGTTGTGGTATATGAATATAATGAAATACTACTGTGCTACAAGAAATAATGAGCAGGTGGATTTCAGAAAAACCTGAAAAGACTTAAATGAACTGATGCTCAGTGAAGTGAGCAGAACCAGGAGAACATTGTTCACAGTAAAAGTAACATTGTGTGATGATCAACTATGATTCACTTAGCTCTTCTCAGCAATACAATGATCCAAGACAAGTCCAAAAGACTCATGATGGAAAATACTACCCACATCTGGAGAAAGAACTAATGGATTCTAAATGCAGATCAAAGCATAGTATTTTTACTTTTTTTGTTTTTTTCTTCTCATGGTTTTTTCCTTTTTCTCTGTTTCTTTTTTCACAACATGACTGATATGGAAATATGTTTTACATGATTGCACATGTATAACCTATATCAGATTGCATGCCATCTTGGGGCAGGGGAGGAAAGGGAGAGAGGGAGAAAAAATTGGAACTCAAAATCTTTCAAATATGCAAGTTGAAAATTATATGTAATTGGAAAAAATAAAATGCTGTTAGTAAAAGAAAAAAAAGAAATGAGGGAGTGAGTTTTGTCATATGCTTAAAAGCTAAAAGAAACATTTTATCATACATTTGGTCAATCACTTATTGCAGTACTGGTGATATTATTTTTTTTCTTTTTTTAATTTTTAATTTTTTTATTTTTAACATGTGTTTTTAAAACTTTGGGTTACAAATTTTCTCCCTTCCTTCCTCCCCACCCACCCTCATTGAATAAGCAAGCATCTCGGTACAGGTTATAGATGTGCAGTCATGCAAAACACTTCCATAGTAGTTCTGCTGTGAAAAACTAAGTATATTTCCCTTCATCCTATTCTACCCCCCATTTATTCTATTCTCTCTTTTGACCCCGTCCCTCCTAAGAAGTGTTTGCTTTTGATTATTCCTTCCCCCAATCTGCTCTCCCCTCTATCAACCTCCCACTCTCTTGTCCCCTTCCCCCCTTATTTTCCTATAGGGTAAGATAGATTTCTGTACCCCATTGTGTACGTTATTCCCTCCTTAAGTCAAATCCTATGAGAATAAAATTCACTCATTCCCTCTCATCTTCTCCCATTTCCCCTCCATTGTAAAAGCCTCTTCTTGTCTGTTTCATGTGAGATATTTTACGTCATTCTACTTCTCCCTTTCTCCTTCTCCCAGTATAATCCTCTCTCACCCCTTAATTTTATTTTCCAGATGTCACCCCTTCATCTTCAACTCACCCTGTGCCCTCTATCTATCTATCTATCTATCTATCTATCTATCTATCTATCTATACATACATATAATTTTTCCCTCTCACTACCCTAATACTGACAATGGACTCATGAGTTACAAATATCATCTTTCCCTGCAGGAATGTAAATAGTTCAACCTTAATAACTCTCTTATGATTTCTCTTTCCTGTTTACCTCTTCCATGTTTCACTTGAGTCTTGTATTTGAAGGTCAAATCTGAATTTTCTCGTCTAAGTTGGACGATGTAATATGATCTTTTAAGGAAAGCTAGTTGTTATTGGCTGCTTACTCTGTTGTAAAATTCTTTAGAAATATAAGAATTGTATGTGGTCACTCTGCTTGCTTTTTCCACAGACTTTTATGATGGGGAAAAAGAGAAAAGAAGTCATTAGAAACCTGAATCTGAACTTGTATGAGGGGCAAATCACTGTTCTTCTAGGACATAATGGAGCAGGGAAGACTACTACCATATCCATACTCATAGGTATGCATTCACAAACAGTCCATTTGAGAAGATCGATAACTTTGGACAAGAATTCACATTTTTAGAATCTAAAGAAAATTGTTCCTAAGCACCACATGATCATGCCTTCTCCTTCTTTCTATCAATTGGGTTGTTTCCATTTCAGCGTTTATCAAATGTAGAAAGAATGTTGACTATAGAATCAGATGACATGAATTCAAATCCTGCTTTCGCATTTTCTATGGTGTGACCTTGATAATTTCTTGAAAGATGATGTTTAAGCTCTTTTTTTTTTCATCATGGCTTTCAGGTAGTTTATTTATTTATTTGTTTTTTGGGTTTTTTTTTGCTTTTTGGTGAGACAATTGGAATTAAGTGACGTGCCCATGGTCACATAGCTAGTAAGTATCAAGTGTCTGAAGCTAGATTTGAACTCAGGTCCTCCTGACTGCAAGGCCAGAGCTCTATCCACTGTGCCGCCTAGCTGCCCCTAGTCCATTTATTTTTAAATTATCTCTCCTGGATCTATTTTCTAGGTCATTTGCTTTTCCAATGAGATATTTCATGTTGTCTTCTATTTTTTTCATTATTTTGGTTATAATTTCTTGATTTCTTATAGAGTCATTAGCTTCCATTTGCTCCATACTAAAATTTTTTTGGGTGAAGCAATTGGGGTTAAGTGACTTGCCCAGGAACACACCGTGAATGAGTGTTATATGTCTAAGTCTGGATTTGAACTCAGGACCTCCTGACTCCAGGGCTGGTGCTCTATCCACTGTACCACCTAGCTGCCCCCATGCTAATTTTTAAGGAATTATTATCTTCAATTAGCTTTGGGACTTCCTTTTCCATTTGGCCAATTCTGCTTTTTAAGCAGAATTCTTCTCTTCATTGGCTTTTTGGACCTCTTTTGCCATTTGGTCTACTGTATTTCTTAAGGTGTTATTTTCTTCAGTATTTTTTTGGGTCTCCTTTAGCAAGCTGTTGACTTCTTTTTCATGATTTTCTTGCATCCCTCTCATTTCTCTTCCCAGTTTTTTGTCTACTTCTCTTATTTACTTTTCAAATTCCTTTTTGAGCTCTTCCATGGCCTGAGAGCAATTCATATTTTTCTTGGAGGCTTTGGATATAGGAGCTTTGACTTTGTTGTCTTCTTCTTGTTGTATGTTTTGATCTTCTTTGTCACCAAAGTAAGATTCTGTAGTCTGAGTTTGTTCTGATGTTTGCTCATGTTCCCAGCCAATTACTTAACTTTTTAACTCTTTGTTAAGGTAGGACTCTGCTTCTAGTGTGGAGGGTGTACTGTCCCAAGTGTCAGGGGTTTTATGCATCTGTTTTCAGAGATACTTCTTTTCCAAAGTGGTATGATCAAAGGAGAGGTGTTTACTCCTTTCCTGGCCTGGGCTCTGGTCTATGAGTGACCATAAGCACTCTTTTCTGCCTTGGAACTGTGAGGAGGATTCCCTCTCCACTGCTACCACAAGTTCCACCACACTAGCACTCCTCCTTGCCCCAGGACTGCAACCCAGATCCAAACACAGGCAAAGCAAGAGAATCCTGCCTCAGTGCCAGCAAAGAGATCCCTGAAATCCCTCTCTGATCAGCCACTTGATCCCCCCCACTGTCTCTGGGCCAACAGAGTAACCACAGCCATCGTACCCGGGCTGCGTCAGGGCTGGGGCCGGACCACACTCCTCTCTCACCTAGACCTTTCCCACTGACTCTCTAAGTTGTCTTTGGCATTTGTGGCTTGAGAGGTCTGGAAACCACCATAGCTGCAAGTGATTCAATCCCCTGAGACCGTCTCTTGGTTTGCCAGGGCCCCGTCTTTCCTGGCACAGCCCACACTGAGCTGTGCTCCTCTCCTAGCCCCTTGCAACAGACCTTTCCCATCAACTATCCAGATTGTCTTGGTCTGGAAATTTGTTTTACTGTCTTTTTGTGGTTCTGCTACTTTAGAATTTGTTTAGAGTAATTTTTCAACAGGTATTTGGAGAAATTTGGGAGAGCACTCAAGCAAGTCACTGTTTTTACTGAACCGTCTTATGCCTACAGTGTGATGTTGGACAAGTCATTTAATCTTCTTTCTAGCTTGGGGAAAAATTGAATATTTATGGGTTCTTAATAGAAATTTATTATATAGAATTTTGACAGGATTTTACATTGTGGTCCCCCATATAATGCTTAGGCATGGTATGTATTGATTTTTTTTTTGTGAGGCAGTTGGGGTTAAATGACGTGCCCAGGGTCACACAGCTAGTAAATGTCAAGTGTCTGGTCTGAGGGGGCATGATATATATATTAATGAGACTTCATCATAGGCATTATCATTCAGATAAACTCTGACAGGTATCCCCTTAAATGACCTACCAGTTATTTGTAGACAAACCTTTTTTCTCCATCTTGAATCTTTCCCCTATCACTTTTTTGTCTTTTCTGGGCCTTCACCTACTGGAGAAGTTGCCAGTCTGCCTCTCCGTAGGTGTTGTTTCCTCTGATGGCTGAGGGCCCTGGGCTAGAAGTACTATTTCCAAGGCTATTAGTTTAGGGCCCTAGGTTGTCTGTCTTAGAAGATGGTTATCATGATGTTAGTAGTGGTTTGACTCCACTTGCCTAGTATTTGCTGCCTCTTGTCACTCCTTCAGGGTGCCTTACTGTTTAAGATGGGCTGGTTTGCCCTCCCTGCTTGTTGCAATTGGTAGGGATGGTTGGTCCCTTTTCCATATGATGATATCTGCAAGGACTGTGGTAGAAGCAGGACCAGTAGTCTAGGCGATCTTTCCACTTGTCTCTATGTGACTTTTGGTGTCATTTGGTCAGCAGTGGTTTCCTGTAATGATAAAGAAGGTGAATGGTTTCTCTACAATGATTTCTTCCCTTAGTGATAGCTGTGGGGGATGGGATGGAAACATGTCAAAGAACCACCCAATATGATCATTTTACTATATGTTCTCCTTTTCAATACTATATTATTATTCCAGATTATGTGAACAAGAAGAGGGAGGATGATATTTTCTCTGATTCCTCAGTACCTCTCAAACCTCTCAAAAACAAAAATCATGCCCCAAAGATAAAGCAACTTCAGCTATCTCCAAGGTCTAGGAGCTTCAGCTTCCGAAAGGTTAAAAAAAAACCCCATGAACTGAAGCTCATTGACTTTGAGCTCACTTAGCTCCTTTCTACCACCTCCTACAATACTGGTAGTGAGGCTAACTAGCAGGTCCAATGACATGACACAAGCTTACAAAAAAACCCATACCTACTACCTAGTTCCCCCTCCATCTTTGTAGTGCTATGGAGACATTGGTTCCAGGCCAGGGAAATGTGTCTTGGCGATGACAGAGAGTCACTATGGCTATAGCCCTTGAAGAGAAAAAGCCTTTTGAAGGCCACAATTCCATAGTACCAGCACTACAAACCTTGAAACTGCCAGTGCCAGATGAAAGAACTAAGACATTGAGGGAGAGCCACTGGGACAGGACATTGTGTGTATGGGGGCTATGAGGGAGAGCTGTGCAACACTCTAGTTTGAGGGAAAGAGCGCAGCATCGAATTTTGGGCCAGTTCTGACAACCCAAAAAGTCAGTTGGGACAGAGACCTAGGCTGGTAAACTTTAAATTACCCAGCATGGGAGGAGGATGTGCCATTTTTGAGATCCAGGTCTCAAAAAAACCACAGAGCGGACAGAATTGGAACGTGAAGGGGGGCAGGGAGGAGACTGAAATTACCAAAGATTTGAGGATAAAGAAACTCAAAGGCCTTGAACATGAACATATAAAACAATAGGGAAAACAGTAACCACAGAAGAAAATATACCTCCAGATCTAGTAAATGAGTTCAGGCATTCATAATTAAATACTGCAAAACAAAGGAAAATCATTCAAGTCTTGATGAGACAGAGGACCCTCTGGAATGTGAGGAGAGCATGGAATGACCACACACCATTCCTGAGTGATTAAAAAGAGCTGTTTTTTAAAAAGAGATGGTTGAAAAGCAATGTCAAGCCTCACTAAAGAAACAAAAGAGAAAGCAATAGTTTGAAAATACAAATATTACAAATGTAAACATAAATGAAAGATAATCTAGAAGAAGAAAAGCAAAACACAAGATTGAAAGAAACATGATCACTATACAAGCAAAATATACTGATCTCAAACGATGTGTAGAGACAACCTAAGGATCATAGGTCTCCTAGGAAAACATAAGGCAAAAATCCTTAACACCATGATGAAGGGAATAGTAGAAGAGAACTGCTCAAAACTTTTGAACATACAAAAAGAAATACCAATGGAAAGAGTTCATGAGATTGTCTCCAGAAAAAAAAATCCCAAAGATGCAAACTCTAAGCTCCATAGTGGTTAAATTTAACAATTCAATTAAGAAACAAGAAGTTCAGGGGGTGGAGCCAAGATGGTGAAGTAAAAGCAGTGACTTGCTTGAGCTCTTCCCCAAATCCCTCCAAATACCTATAAAAAAATTGGCTCTAAACAAATTCTAAAGCAGCAGAACCCACAAAAAGACAGAGTGAAACAAATTTTCAGCCCAAGATAACCTGGATGGTTGATCAGAAAGGTATATCATGCCGGGAAGGGAAAGAAACACAGTTTGGCATGGGTGTGCAGGCTGCAGCGACCCTGGAGCAGGCCACAGAGGACTGAATCGCAGGCAGCTGTGGCAGTTGCCAGACTTCTCAACCCATGAACGCCAAAGACAACTTAGAAGGTCAGTGGGAAAAGTCTATTTCTGTGGTGGTTAGAGAGAAGCATGGTGGGGTTCCAGCGTCAGGCCCCAAACTCAGCCCCGGAGCGGCAGCTGCCTCCTGAGCTTCTGGCTCACAGACTGAGGGGAAGTCAAGTAGCTGATCAGAGGGGAATTTCAGGGATCTCTCTGCTGGTACAGGATTCTCTTGCTTTGCATGTGCTTGGATCTGGGTCACAGTTCTGGGTGGTGGTCCTGGGGCGAGGAGGAGCGCTGGTGTGGTGGAGCTTGTAGTGGCTGTGGAGAGGAAATCCTCCTCACA